GCCAGAATGGAACATAATTAAAAAATAGGTGTTTATTTGTTTTAAAATATCCGCAAAATATACTTAAAATGTGTATAAAATAAGAATAAGTATATAAACTCACCAAAAAGTAGTCGTGTATGGTATCGTTGGAAAGATGCTGATAATGTATTGCAGTTTATATATCAGAAACGGTGTAGTGTTTCATGTATTGTCCCATAAAGCTGTCTCTTATACACATCTCAACTGTTCATTAGCTTGGAGTTAGTAGTGGCAGTCATACACTACATAGAGTGACTCCAAACAGCAACAACATGAGACATATACTGCATGTATAATTAAGATATGAGATAATTATGTCAAAATGAAGCTGCATATTAATTTTTTAATCATTGATATCAATGTGTTTTTGTTGTTTTAAACTTGTCTGGTTAATTTATTTCCAAAAGCAGTGTTGCATTTCTAATGGAGGTTCAGTGGCGGCGCTAGTGTGCGAGGTGGGAGGGGATTGATTTGCCCTGCCGTTAAGAGAAATTCTTCGGGGACAACCAAACAAATTTTCAAGGACAACTAGGACGAATAACGTCGGTCTAACTGAACACTGTGTATAGCGGCCAAGCTTACGGGTACATGCATAATAATAATATAGCCTAGGTTTACCATGTACTGTACCTTTTTCATGTTCTAACCTATGGAGTTTCTACCTCCAAAAAGTATGAGGCAGTTGTCATATGGTCGTCATACAGCTATACTGTTCTTGCCCGTGTTTGAATTATAAAGTTCGCAATTAGTTTCAAGTCGTACGTATGTGTGTTTCGAGTGAGGCCTATGGCTGTCTCTTATACACATCTTGAGGGTTACAGTATAGATTTAAGTGGTAGAATCAGGGGGAAGGCGACAGCCATCCCAGGCGTCCCTCTCCTAAATTTTGAGAAAAAATTGTATTCAAATTAAGTATGACAGTTGCATTTCTGGTCATCTGGAAGTGCCATAATAATTAATTTTCTTATCTCAGCCCAAGCTTGGTGGAGCTGAGATGGTCTACATCATCCATCTGTGAAAGCCTCTCTCTGGGCCCCCTTTATTTAAAATGCCTGGATCCGCCACAGTACTGTACTGGATCTGTCTCTTATACACATCTAGATGTGTATAAGAGACAGCAACCAATCGTATTCACTTAACGCTAATTACAACCAACCTCTGAATTGCAGTTAACTTGAATTGCATTACAGTTAACTGGAAATGATTTGCAGTTAACTTGAAATGCATTCAAGTTAACTGCAAATGTTTTCGAATTAAGCCGAAATACACATAATTGAAATAGATTTCCAGTTACCTTTAAATAAATTACACTTAACTCAAAAACAAAATTTTAATTGCAGTTAACTGCAATTGAATTCGAGTTAACTGTAATTGAATTACAGTTAACTGTAATGCATTACACTTAACTGTAATGTATTACAGTTAAGTCGAATGTATTACAGTTAACTGTAATTGAATTACAGTTAACTGTAATGCATTCGACTTAACTGCAATTCAGAGGTAAATGATAAAACGGCTTGCCATATGGTAGCCTCTGTGCGCGCTAAAACGCGGGGATCTCTAGGTCTCCAATTCAAATAAAATCAAATCATTCCTAATTCATCACTCAAAATGGGTTGAATTTTATAAAAGTAAAGGGTTCAAGCAGAAAAATCTAAACAATCAACATTTAAACATTTTTCAACAAATAGACCCACATCACAATAATAGCAAAATGAAACAGTTTAAAGGGCAAAAAGGAAACCAATATTAAATTATTATTATTATTATTAATTATTATTATTATTATTATTGTAATTATTATTATTATTGTAATTATAATTATTGTAGTGAGATTATTCTATCGTTCCTGTTATAGCTACTCATTTTTAAGCTTTAATTTCAGCACTAGAGATATTCGGAGTACCCAGGGAGCCCAACATTTTTCGGGGCCCTTGGACGGGCCCTCGACTCACGTCAATTGAGTTATTTCCTGTTAAATCTCAAGCCTCTAGCTACCTCCAACTTGGCATGTATTCTATATTCCAACATTATTGAGTAGTTGGATGCTTTCTTCCATAGATCGATGAACTGATAGGCCTGAAGAATACACTTTCGTGCATAATTATTACGACGTCAAGCCAAAACAGTGTTTCTAATGTATTTAATTGAATGCTAGTTGAGCTAAGCCTATATATATATAATATGCATACTTTATAAAACATAAATTAACCTAATTTTCTGATAAACAAATTAAATAACATTAATTAAATGAAATATGTTTAATGATATAGGCGTATTTGCTACCATCAACCGTAACACACAATTTGAAATAAAAGTAGGCGTATGATGACATAATTAATGTCGAAATATTGAATCCCAACAACTTGGAGTATGTATTATACTTTCTTATCTGCGATTAATCAGTGGACCGTTCAGTAGTAGGCGTATCGTAGAAGAGAATCACTAATGGGCATTGACCTCCGAAGTACTGTAGAAGTACAGAAATAATAGAGTATTTTTTGTGGATGAAATATATAATATATAATGAAATATATAGAACGACTAGGAAAAAGGTGTGATATCGAAATTCCAAAAGAGGAAGCATGTTATAAAGATATCCTGTTTTCTTTCCTGTATTTCTTATGTAAAACCAGATTTAAACTTTCAAAACCTTTCTACAATGTGTATTTAGGCTTCATCAATACGGTATTGCGAATGCATCAATAGTCAATCAGTCAATTGATTGAATAACGCATTTGTATCATCGGCACACCTTTTTAGTGTAACCTTACAATGACTAGACAATAATTAATTGATATAGAGAAAACACACAAAAAAAAAAAAATGTTCTCTCTTATAAAGTATAATGAAAATAACCTGATGGGAAAAAAAAATCAATAGGAAAACTAAGAGGAACAATGCATCAAAAAAATGGGGTGGGGGGGGGAATAGCCTGGGCTGGGAATAACTCTCCAGGTAGAAAAAAAAATCAGTGGGGAAAATTAGCAGGTGGCAAGTAGCTACCGTAATAGTGCTATATTCTGTGTAAAGTAAAGCCTCAAACCACCTCGATTTTGAGTCTACTAAATTTTAAAATCTTCCCAGTCTTTTGCAGATATAGCCAGAACTAACTTAATATTCGGAGTTTTTTTGATAGCAGATTATTTTTTTTAGATTATAGTGAGTTAACCCGACTCAAAGACAAGCTTGCGTACAA